TAGATGAATACTTATAGCGTTAGATTATATATTATTGCCAATATAATTACTTTAACGTTAAACATCCTTTATAATATATTACGAGTATATATTATAAAGTATTTTTAACGTGTTTTTTAAATTAATTACTTTTTAATTAATCATTAATCTCAACAGACACTATGACCGTTGGCCAGTAGCGTATGGTAACATCTGACGACAAGGAACCTGTGTTTCTGTAAGAAGCCGACTTCCTGGGGCAATCAGTTAATCGCGTGTGATAGTCTAGGGTCCATTCGTATTCGTTTGTTCGATAAATCAGTAAAAACCGTAGATTTCTCTAAATGTATTTTTAATATCACAATTACATTCTGAATCGCTAGCCACGATCTAAGGGCTGAAATTAAAAATATAATTTTAAAAACTTACTCGGTGAAATAAAATGTGTGGTGGATACCTGGTACAAAACATTATTCAATTGTATGAATATACTTTTAAAAAAAGTATATTCCTACAATTATATATTCATCAATACAATATCCATCATAATTAAATATAGCTTTGTAAAGAAACCCACATAAAAATAATATAAAATATTCTTTACTTTTTAAATCTTAAAACAATCCACTTAGTCAAATAGCTCTCTACGAGTGGCTAATGGATGGAATCAGAGACAGTCCTGGTAGGTGTGCAGTGCGTGCATGTACGCGGGCTGTCAAATCCCTAGGGTGCCAATACCGGTCAGTGTCAAATGCATCATTTGTGGCATCACTCGTATACCTCAAAGAGACGCGACAGGGTTGTTGTAAATTTTAAACGTTTCTCACCATAGCTGTAAAAATCTAAATAAATTAAACTTGATAGATTGTCCGTCGTTTGTTTTCTAACTAATTCATTTTACGATCAGGTGGTGTCCACGGAAATTTCTAAAATTTACAACTTTTCGTTCACTCTCGTTGAACTCAAAAAATTTCTGTCTTTATTACTACTAATATTACGAAGAAATCAGTCCTCACTGTGCTCGGCTAGAGATTGGTTCAGTTAAGTTGTTTAAGTAAAATTTCGGCTCTTTCACTAGGGTTTTATTTATGTGCCTAATTCCCTAATCGCTTAATTATTAAGTAGAAATAAGTCGAAACTGGTTACTTTGTATTTGAATATCTGTAATCTTGGGAAAGATGTGAAAAGACAAATTTTTATGACAACGGATACATAAATCGTAAATTTAAAGAAAACAAATTCTAAAACTTTTTTGTACCTTGTACATCTATCTCATTTACAATGAGATTTTCAAAGTTTTTTCTGCATCCCCTCATAGATGGGACATACTAAATAGTAATATTACTAGTTTAACATTGAAATCTGTAAGCAATACAAGATGGCAGAGCAGAATAGAAGCAATATAAATGTATCAAATATTTTAATGAATTATTTTAAAATCTTGTCAACTATACAAAACTATCATAAAAAGATACCAGTAAACTCTTTCGGTTGGGTTAAGTTATAAATCTACTCGCGATTCACATAATGGGGCGAGGGAGGCTAAACAGCCCAGAACCGGTCCTGGTTAGAATCATTGGAAGCGTTATATGATATTTTAGTGTGTAGCATCCACCAGCTCGGTTGGTGTTCTTTAACTTAAAGTGCTTGCGCAAATGCGTATAATCTGGCTGCTTTACACTATTCAGATATTTTGGCCGTAGAAGCTGTCCCGTATTCGACAATACATCGCTTCCATTCCGCCAATGATATTCGAATATACAATAGTAATCTTATCGTTTTTTCACATGTAGTATAGAAATTTGTAATGAGATACATAATGCGGTTATAATAAAATATTAATTTTAATTAATTCAAAGTACACACAATATGTACTGTACTTTCAAGGACGGCACGCCACTGCCGTTGGCCTTTTTTCAAGTGCCAGAAAAAATACAAGATAAACAAACAACAAACAACAGGGAGGGGGAAAGACAAATATTCATTTTTGTGTTTTAATGCAAAAATGCAGATACGTTGATTTACCTGTTAAAACATTTCTGCTTTGAAGATTTGGCTAAGGGGTTTTTTTGAATGTTTGATTTAAATTTCGTCTTATCAGTTATCTCTTGAAAATCTTTATGTAACAAATTCCAGTATTTTATCATTTGGAAAGCTGCCACGTAATATTTAAAAGATGACTGTTATTCGTTTTAAGATTTATAAATTTAAAAGAATAAAGTATAGTTTGTTTTGCATATAATAGTTTTATGTTGTCAATTTTTTTTATAACAATAGGAGATTAATTTATAGTAGTTTAATTTAAAAATGGCTCTCATTAGATGATTTTGTTGTATTTGTATTCGGTTTGCGATATAATCAGATATAGTTCCCCATATAATTATGCCATATTGAATTTTCGGTGTAATACAGGTATGATATAGTCGCATTATCGTATTTATATTCGGAAAGTTTTGTATTTTCCTAATTATGGCAGTAAACTTAGAGACAGTCTTAGTTAATTTTTCGATGTGTCTATCAAATCTGAGTTTATCGTCTATCAAAACGCCGACATATTTTATGCAGTTAATTCTTTCTATCTTCTTTTGATTCATTTATTTTTTTTTTTTAAGTTGTTCCGTATTACAATTTTATCTTTATTTACAAAACCGAGATATTATGTTTTATTTGCGTTTAGTTTATCCTCTTGCGTAATTATTTTATTGATTATATCAATTAATTCTTCTTTTTTGAAAAGCTGGTACTCCTACGATTTCTAACATAGAATTATGTGATATTTGCTCGAAATTTTTTATTTTATTATTATTTTAGTTCCGATTTTATACTAGTAACTTCTTGGTTCAAATCGGGGATATTTCCTCGAAAAGTGCTATTATTATTATTTTATAAAGACGTTATTCTTGCCACTAAATTATCGAAACTAAGCGAGAGAAAAACAATAGATTTTTGTATTTCACTGTTTTATTAGTGTTTTCCACCTCTTTGTATATTGTCTTCAATTCTTTAAATATTTTATCAAAATTCTCTTGTACAGTAAAGTTAAGTATCGTTGGAGTGTGAGATGTTTTATCGTTTTTGACTGCCAAAAGATTTAATCATTTCGCCTTCTCTAGGTTCATGTTAGAATTGTTAGACTCACCCGAGTTATTTTCGTCTGTTATTTCCACTAGGTTTTCTGCAAAAGCCACCTTATCCTTTTGACATTTTTCTCGTCTTGCAGCTTGAGCATTTCCAATTTCCCTTGGACGTTTTGTTTAACTTTAAAAAATTTGAACGAATTACATCGTAGCAATCAAAATGCGCTGACTTTAAACATTTTTTAGTTTTGCAATTTGATTATTACCTTAAAAATTTATTTGTCAATTATCTTTATTGTTTCTGTTATATTTATAAAAGATTTAACGGTTTTAATCATTGTTTCGGAGCTGCAGTATATAGTGTATCAATGTGTATTTCTAAGAAGAAAAAAAAAGTAAGGCTGTTACAAAAATCACTGCATATTTCTAATATTGGAGAACGGCATAATTCATTGTGTATGAAAAACTAGATTTAACTACCCGAATGTACAGTACGCCCGATCTTCGCTTCAATAGGTATTAATTCACATATAACATATTGGTCCGTGGATGGACAAATATGCTTATATGTGAATTACATGCCATGTGCACTGATGTCGCCCAAGTCGGCTCCGTACATAATCAGTATGTTACATCTAAACTAGGTTTAATAAATTTTAGAAAAATTTGGTATCTTTGAAACACGGGTTTTATGTATTTGCAAGAACAATATAGCAAATATGAAATGTGCCATAAATAATTTAACCACGACAGATTCATTTCTAACTCTAATGATACAAACAAAATTGAAACTATTTCGCCGGAATAACAAACTGAGGAACATGATGAATAAGAACACGACCACTGGACAGTGTAGCCTAAGTGATTGGGATGCCACGTATAAAATGATTGAACGGTTTCTAGTTTTTCAATCTTATTGTGAACAATAGAGTTGAAGTTAAGTAAAGATGAATGGGAAAAAGTGAAAAACTTAAAAAATTCTCTCGGCTAAGTTAAACCACACATCAACCACACTTTAAGAGCTGATGTAACACTTGGAGGTTTCTTAAAATAGTGGCATAAACTCACTAAAACTTTGCAAGACAATGCAGATGAAACTGCAATGGAAATTTTATGAGAAACCATGAGGGGAAACTTTGAAAACGTATAATTTCTTGCCGGAGATTACGGAAGGATTTTACTAAATCTAAGTAAATAATGAAAATGAAAGAAGTAGTCTTAGATATAGCCCAGTAACTTGAAAAATAGAAAAATTTTCGATATTTCAATACGGCGCAAATGATTGAAGGATTCGAATTTTTAATAGAATAATCTCATAAAATTTTTCAGTTATCGCAGCAAAAATACAGTATCACTCTTCCAAAAGCACTTCAAAACATGACGATTTTTAAAATGAACTCGATAAACAGGAAAATGTTTCTGAACTCACAGTTCAGCCGCTCACGTTTCGCATGTAGTAACTAATACAAATGCTAGCGCTACTATTTCTTAAAATTTTAAAACATTGTCCGTCCTTATATGTACTTTAGGCATATATTATAAGCCCTTGCTCTGTGAAACGACAACAAACAAAACCTTATGATAGTAAATTAATTTTTTATCCTTCTATTTTTCAGAGATCCGTGGTGTACATCAATATGTAAAGAATTGCAACAACGATTGAGTATAAAATAACATTAAATAATGGTAAGAAAAACTTTTATTAGTGATAATTTTTCCTATTTTTTCGATAAATTGGGAAGAATTATTGCACGACATCCTTCTTCTTTCTTCATTTCACCAATATTGCTATCAGCTTTACTCTCTGTTGGATTATTTAAGCTCAAAAGTATAGAAAATGCAAATTATCTACTAAATTCTGATAGAGGTAATGTGTTCAAAGATAAAGAATTTATAGACAAGATGTTTCCTACGAATACATCCAAGCACTATGACTTGATTAGAATGACACAAATTCCTCGATCAGCAATGGTTTACGTTCTAAATAAATTTGGACAAAATATGTTGCAAAAAGAAACTTTACTCGAAATTCAAGTTTTAGACGAACTTATTAAAAACATAACCGTTGTTGTAGATGGAAGAGTAATAAATTATAGTAACATTTGTGGAATAGTCAACGAGAAATGCTTTGAAAATCCAATACTAAATTTAATGCCGGAAATGGATAAATTAATTTCCCGAAAGAGAAAAGTAAAGTTTCCTGTAGAAATTGACCCGCTTACATACAAAACCCAATACTGGATAATCAATTTTGGGGGTGTTAAATATGATACACGAGGATATGTCAGAAATGTAAAAGCTATGAGATTAATTTATCCTCTTGATGAATCAAATTCCTCTAAAGAACAGTGGCTCCAAGAATGGCGAAAAGCATTTTTGAAAAACGTTAAACAATTTAAATTTAATTTCATTGAATTGTATCCATGTCCAGTGCTCTCGACTGAGTTAGACATGAAATCAATTGCTGACGATACGTTATTTTTGATTAGTGTCGCCATTATAGTAGCTGCTTTATTTTGTGTAGTGACTTATACGACAAATAGTTGGGTAATGAGTAAACCTTGGATGGGAATTGCTGCTGTCTTCTCTGCTGGATTAGCAATTGTTTCTTCCTTCGGATTGATGAGTTCGTGCGGAGTAGAAACCATTAGCTATAACATTTCATTACCTTTTCTAATTTTAGGTATGTAATTGCAGTAAAATATTCGTGTAATTTTCATATAACTGTATTTATAACAAATAATTTTAATTTATTTACAGCTATAGAAATAGATGATTCTTTTGTGATAGTAGCAAATTGGAGAGTTACCGAAGTTCAAGACAACGTAGAAGAACGAATGGGGAAAACTTACTCAAAATCCTCAGTTTCTATCACAATAACAACGTTAACAAATATTTTATCTTTCTGCATAGCGATGACTGCAGAATTTCCTGGTGTGAGGATCTTCTGTTATTACGCTACTACTTGCGTGTGCTTTACTTATTTCTATCAGATTACGTTCTTCGGATCGTGTCTAGCCCTTAGTGGATATAGAGAAGAAAGATGTCTTAATGCATTCACATTTAAAATGTTAAAAGGTATTAACCATATATATTTAATAACTTAATGTGTTTTGTTTAATCTACTAATTTTTTCATTTGGCGCACAAAATATTTTAGATATTATTATACTTTAATTGCGTGAAAACATTACAGACACGTTCTAAATAGCGTGTAGGTTCTCCTCCAACACGAATGACACTCTGAATACCGAAAGGCATTGACTTAATCAGATGCTTGGGGTTTGCTGGAGGAAGCCATGCTCAATTAAACCTGAGGACTTGGAAAGTCATTGGATAAACATTACTTAATGGTCTTCGAACTCTGAAGAAGGTTTAAAAATGCTAGAAGGAGAAGCTAAAATGAATTCACTTTTTGTCATGTCCAATCATCAGGAACAACATTCTTCCATTACAGAGACAACTTTTTAGTTTTTTCAACGTATATTCTACTTGAAACTAATATCTCAAATAGTTTATTAGAGATGACAGAGACTTATCACACAGTTACTGGTAACATTAAAGTGAAACTTCTATTACCAAAATGTAATTTTATTACTGGAATGTATTTCAGTACACAAGACCCTCGTCAGTTATATATATAAAATTATATAGATATCTGTTGTAAAACAAATTCGCAGAGAAATTGACATTAATTACAATCTGTTTATCCACACTGCACAATACCATGAGGATTACATTATAAACAGGCAATAACTAAAAGAGAAAATCCTTTGCTAATCCAATATATATCGGTTGCGGTATAATGTAATCCTCATGGTATTGTGCAGTGTGGATGGACAGATTGTAATTAATGTCAATTTCTTTGCGAATTTGTTCTACAACAGATATCTATATATTTTTATATATAACTGATGAGGGTCTTGTGGAAATATTAATATATACTAGTCTCTGTTATCTCTACTATAGTATTTGAGATACTAGTTTCAACAATTTTCGAGGCAAGAAGCTCTTTTATAGTATTTTCACTGAATGAATATACTATAGTAAACTCTGGAGGGTGCTACTATATACTTTCCTTCACCATTGTCCAATGTTTAATCAATCAATGTATTAATTAACGTTGTAAAATGATTATTTTAAACATAAATTTTTATTTATTTACTTATTACAATTGGATAACACTTTTATTATACAATTCACTATTTTTTAATATATTTTTTTTTATAATTTTTAACTTGAGATCTACTTTTCTATATTTGCAGAAAAGTCCGAAAAATACACCACCCATCACAATCATGAATATCTGACTATGAAATTCTTCAGGGATAATGTCGCTAGATTCATTTCACATCCTACAATAAAAATAATAATTATTTTTATATATTTTTGTAATCTTGCCATAGGTATTTGGGGTGTAACATTTTTAAAAGAAGGATTAAACATTTTTACACTTTATCCTAATCATTCAAAAGTGACAAAAGGATATCGAATATATAGCGATTATTTCACAGAATTTTCATTTTCTGTGCATATTGTTATTAATAAAACATTAGATTATTCTCAAGAAAAAGTCCAGAAATCTATAGAAAATATGATGATGAAATTTCATTCTCATCCTAATATCATTCCCTCGGAATTTGATATATCTTGGTTAAAATACTATGAAAAGTTTCAGAATCATCCAGTATCTCCGTTTACCATGAATGGATATGATGTGTCAAGGAAACAGGATTTTATAGACGGTCTTCGCAACGTGTTTTTAAGAATTGGAGAAGCCAAACAATTTTCAAATGACATCGTTTTTAATGATAATTACACAGAAATTATATGTAGTCGCTTTTTTGTGGGAGCAAAACACGATCATCTAAGAGGAACGGAACGTAAATTAATTAATGAAATGTGGAAAATAGCAGAAGAATTCGAATTTCCAGTTATAATACATTCTTTTTATTCTTCTGCGATAGAACAAGCTTTGATCATAAAAAGAATAACTATTCAACTTTTCTGGCTGACAGCTCTTCTGATTTTTATTGTATTTTTTGCATTTATTCCAAATTTTCTTTGCGCGCTTCTTGTAGGTCTCTCGATTACTTCAATAATCGTCGAAACATTTGGATATATGTCTTTTTGGAATGTAAATCTTGATGTCATTACCATGATGATTATAATAGTTTGCAATGGTTTCTGTGTAAATTATCCCACGCATATGTGTTACGTTTTCCTGACTTCGTCGCATTCTACAGTTGAAGAAAAGTTAAAAGAATCACTATATCATGTTGGTTTTCCCATACTTCAAGGTTCACTGTCCACAATTCTGGTATCGGTAATATTTCTTTATAATAATATGTACGTGTATGTATCATTTGTAAAAATTGTTGTCTTTATTTCTTTACAAACTCTCTTCCATTCTATTTTTGTTATTCCTGTATTTCTTAGCATAATAGTTAACCTATTTCAGAAAAATAATAGCAATACTTTGTAATAAAGTTTATTATTGTATTACAGTGGAATTGCCAAGAGTACAAGTCTACCCCCCTATAACACTGTTGATTATTCCGTTTTATATGAATTCCATGTTGTACGAGTCACTTAGATTTTACAAATACATGAGCCGTTCACAGCCTGGCATACGTATTTATAAAATCTAAGTGACTCNAATTAAATTCACTTAGCATTCAAAACTTGCGAATTTTGAAAAAAACAAATTTGCTGATTAAATGCGAACAACTGTTTAACTGAAGTAAAACGGGTTTTCCCCTTGCTATGGATGTCTGCCTAGTTCAGTTCAGCCACATTCCGCTACAGTTCGCCTTTATTATCAGTTCGAAACGGGGTGGTTCCATAATACCTGCAGTGTTCCATAATACCACCTTCTCCTCTATTATTAATTTTTTATAAAATGGCAAAAAGCTTCAATTTAAGGGTGGAGATGAGTTTTATTAAATAAATTTAAATACTAAGAACGAGTAATATATTTTGAAACTTGTTTTCTATTTGAAGCTTAATAACTCGTGTGCTTTTAGTCGAAAATTTTTGAAATTTTGCAAGGTGGTCTGTGTATTAGGGGGATTGATGCTATTTAATTTTGGAGGTTAATGGGGTGGAAAATAAAAAAAGGTCGCGTGTATCTCCAGTAGGGTCGGACGTAATGACGATTTCACTCGTTATTACTATTTAGAATTTTTTATAAAACTCATTTCTACCTTCAAAATTAAACTTTTTGCTATTTTATAATAGTTAAAAATATAAAAACTTTTTAAAAATAAATTATGATAACAGATGACGCCACTAATATTTTTAAATGTTGCCGGAAAGTTGAGCAACTCGATGCTAATTTATTATTATTATTTATTTATTTATTCGTTCATTCATTTACTATTTTGCATTTCTCCGCGTTTCAAAGTGCTCTGAGTCCAAAATGTTAAAATCCTGAGTGGATTGCCATACTTTCCCTGTTATATATTAGCCAGGAAAGTAAAAAATTAATAATAAAATTGGAAAGCTTCCACTTATTGTGATAAAAATACACCATCAAAAAACTACAGTTATATTTTAAGAAAAAAAAATCCAACAACGAAAGTTGCGTAACTTTTCCGGCTGCTGTTATAAAACATGTTTATTATTATGTGAACAATAAAATTGTATGTGGCGCCATCTCTTATCAGAGTTCATGTTATTAATCAAATTATTTACATTCCTTTTGTAAACACATGGAGATAACCTTGTACATTTGCTACGACATAATTCCTTGCAGGCTGTATTATCTCAGAGTTTATAAAACATTTAAAAATAACTTATAACTTAAAACTAAATAAACCTAAAAGTATGTTTAGGTTTAGTTTTAACTGTTTGTTGGAACAATAGTTTTAATTAAGTATATATTATTACATATGTTTTATCTAAACGAAACAGCTAAGTAATATGTTCATTTTTAAATAAATTTTCATAACTTATTAAATATCAGTTTGTACAGTACTTTTGCCCTGATTATGGATCTGTTTATAATAAATTATATTAAAAAATTTAGTTTATTTATCAATACATTATTTCGAAACTACTTATTGTTTGCTGTAAAATATTTTGAAATTTAATATATAAAATTATATTGATTAAATTGTTAAAATAAAAAAATTGCACTCCGATATTTTCTATTAAAAAATAATGAAATTTATAACTGGGAAGAGAACTTTGTAATTCTTTATCAATGAATTTTACATTATCATTATGAATCTATAAACTCATTAAATATTATTTTCTATGTTTTAGTTATCTATCTTCTGAGCATTTTCAATTGGTGTATTGAAATAAATTTAAGAAATACACCATGTACAGTTACATTATTTCTAATACAGTTTGAAAGTTTAGAATTTTACTTAGCAGCTACTTGAAACCATTCTTAAATATTAAAAAGTAAGTTTATTTTCTTTCACATTTCTTTATAATCTGACAAAAATTCGTTGATAAAAATCTTGTTTATAAAAAAAACTATTTATATTTTATTATAATTATAATTATTATTATTATTATTAAACTGTTTCAGTCATTACTAGTTTATAATAAAACTAGCAGATAAGCCCGGCGTTGCTTGGGCAAAATATAACGATAGCGAAGATTAAGATTATTACATTACAGCCAATCTTACTCGTTTTCACAGAATGCAAGAATTAGGTTCCCATGTTTCCAGACTAATTAGAAAATTTTTAGATGAGTCTAAAATTATGTTCGATTTAGCGCAAAAAACCGCATCTGCGCCTGTAAATCTTGCACGTTGCTTTCTCTTAACACTTCCATTGTTGAAGCCTTAATCCTGTCCCTTTCCCTGCTGGGGGGATTTCAAAAAATCCCTTGTTAGTGTGTGTTCTCGTGACGTACCCTAAAGCCGGATGCACACATGCGGCACGGCAAGGAAAAGCGGCAGGATGACATCACTTTTTCTTGCCACAGAAGTTGGTTGAATTTTATCTTTTGCGTCAACTGACGCCAAGATGCGTTTCTATCAGCCAATAACAGTTTGTCTGGTAGTCACGTGAGAAAATACAATCATGTGATGTTTTAATGGTGGAAAGTTTGACGCGGTTAACCGAGATAACTAACATCAGAATAAAGAGGAAAGGATAATAAATTTAACACAAATTCTACACAAATAATCATATATAATTTAATTCAAAAAACAAAACAACCAAATCTTACTCGAAATAGTATTCTTTATCGAGGAATAAGCGTATTTTGTACACCAGTTCTTTATCAATCCAAGAAAATATCTCTAATCCAAAANTTGTATAAAATGATTGAACGGTTTCTAGTTTTTCAATCTTATTGTGAACAATAGAGTTGAAGTTAAGTAAAGATGAATGGGAAAAAGTGAAAAACTTAAAAAATTCTCTCGGCTAAGTTAAACCACACATCAACCACACTTTAAGAGCTGATGTAACACTTGGAGGTTTCTTAAAATAGTGGCATAAACTCACTAAAACTTTGCAAGACAATGCAGATGAAACTGCAATGGAAATTTTATGAGAAACCATGAGGGGAAACTTTGAAAACGTATAATTTCTTGCCGGAGATTACGGAAGGATTTTACTAAATCTAAGTAAATAATGAAAATGAAAGAAGTAGTCTTAGATATAGCCCAGTAACTTGAAAAATAGAAAAATTTTCGATATTTCAATACGGCGCAAATGATTGAAGGATTCGAATTTTTAATAGAATAATCTCATAAAATTTTTCAGTTATCGCAGCAAAAATACAGTATCACTCTTCCAAAAGCACTTCAAAACATGATGATTTTTAAAATGAATTCGATAAACAGGAAAATGTTTCTGAACTCACAGTTCAGCCGCTCACGTTTCGCATGTAGTAACTAATACAAATGCTAGCGCTACTATTTCTTAAAATTTTAAAACATTGTCCGTCCTTATATGTACTTTAGGCATATATTATAAGCCCTTGCTCTGTGAAACGACAACAAACCAAACCTTATGATAGTAAATTAATTTTCTATCCTTCTATTTTTCAGAGATCCGTGGTGTACATCAATATGTAAAGAATTGCAACAACGATTGAGTATAAAATAACATTAAATAATGGTAAGAAAAACTTTTATTAGTGATAATTTTTCCTATTTTTTCGATAAATTGGGAAGAATTATTGCACGACATCCTTCTTCTTTCTTCATTTCACCAATATTGCTATCAGCTTTACTCTCTGTTGGATTATTTAAGCTCAAAAGTATAGAAAATGCAAATTATCTACTAAATTCTGATAGAGGTAATGTGTTCAAAGATAAAGAATTTATAGACAAGATGTTTCCTACGAATACATCCAAGCACTATGACTTGACTAGAATGACACAAATTCCTCGATCAGCAATGGTTTACGTTCTAAATAAATTTGGACAAAATATGTTGCAAAAAGAAACTTTACTCGAAATTCAAGTTTTAGACGAACTTATTAAAAACATAACCGTTGTTGTAGATGGAAGAGTAATAAATTATAGTAACATTTGTGGAATAGTCAACGAGAAATGCTTTGAAAATCCAATACTAAATTTAATGCCGGAAATGGATAAATTAATTTCCCGAAAGAGAAAAGTAAAGTTTCCTGTAGAAATTGACCCGCTTACATACAAAACCCAATACTGGATAATCAATTTTGGGGGTGTTAAATATGATACACGAGGATATGTCAGAAATGTAAAAGCTATGAGATTAATTTATCCTCTTGATGAATCAAATTCCTCTAAAGAACAGTGGCTCCAAGAATGGCGAAAAGCATTTTTGAAAAACGTTAAACAATTTAAATTTAATTTCATTGAATTGTATCCATGTCCAGTGCTCTCGACTGAGTTAGACATGAAATCAATTGCTGACGATACGTTATTTTTGATTAGTGTCGCCATTATAGTAGCTGCTTTATTTTGTGTAGTGACTTATACGACAAATAGTTGGGTAATGAGTAAACCTTGGATGGGAATTGCTGCTGTCTTCTCTGCTGGATTAGCAATTGTTTCTTCCTTCGGATTGATGAGTTCGTGCGGAGTAGAAACCATTAGCTATAACATTTCATTACCTTTTCTAATTTTAGGTATGTAATTGCAGTAAAATATTCGTGTAATTTTCATATAACTGTATTTATAACAAATAATTTTAATTTATTTACAGCTATAGAAATAGATGATTCTTTTGTGATAGTAGCAAATTGGAGAGTTACCGAAGTTCAAGACAACGTAGAAGAACGAATGGGGAAAACTTACTCAAAATCCTCAGTTTCTATCACAATAACAACGTTAACAAATATTTTATCTTTCTGCATAGCGATGACTGCAGAATTTCCTGGTGTGAGGATCTTCTGTTATTACGCTACTACTTGCGTGTGCTTTACTTATTTCTATCAGATTACGTTCTTCGGATCGTGTCTAGCCCTTAGTGGATATAGAGAAGAAAGATGTCTTAATGCATTCACATTTAAAATGTTAAAAGGTATTAACCATATATATTTAATAACTTAATGTGTTTTGTTTAATCTACTAATTTTTTCATTT